AACAATAGTGCAGTAGTACTGGCAGCAGCTGGTGTACATTGGATTATGGCACCAAAAGAGAACATCGAAAGAATTGTTAAACCACTGCTATTTTTGTTGAGATCATCAAGAAATTCAAATTACGTGGTACTGTGCAATCCCTGCATCTATATGTTTTCGTATACATAGATGGTACTAAAAGTGTTTCATTTATCTTTAATATATGTAGATGCTGTTTTGATTTCTGTTCAAGAGCAAGGTGTAGGCTTTCTTATAGCAGATTCCTGCATTCTCTTTATGAGGTGCTCTTTTACTCTTGAATTAGAATAAAACAGGAACTGTTATTTCTTTCTTTTCAAGCTAGTGGCAAAGGATTTGAAAGGATTAAAATGGGGCATTCAGTAACAAATGTGGCTGGGTTACATTATTCCACTTGGAAGGAAATCGTCTTGTATATCCATTTTAGGGGGAGATACGTGTATGGTTACAATGTAGAATAGTTCAATTTTCAGTAATGTGGTAATGCATGCCCAAGTAATTTTATCTGCATGAAAATTTATGGTATTACTCTTAGCTAGGCATTCATATGCCTGCTCCTAACATACCTATGTCCTGTTGTTTTGTTGGATGAAGTTTGGGAGGTTGCAAGATGCAAAATCTTCATGATGTTTCATATAGTTCTTAGGCGATCCCCTCCAATTGGCGCTTTGTTTTCGTTTTATATAAACTTTCTAATCAAGTTCGAAAGAGTTAGTTCAAGTCCAGCTGATACACTTATATTGTTTCCTTACAGGTCCTTTGCAACATTCAAGTGTTTGCTAAAGCAATGCCTTATCTATTTGCTTCACACTTTGAGAACTTTTTCATACTATCCACAGACTCTTATCAGACAAAAGCCTTGAAGCTTGAGATTCTTTGTACTATTTCTACAGATTCATCTATTGCATCTATCCTCAAGGAATTTCAGGTAAGTCCTTCAATCTTTCTTTGCCTAGTAGTAATTGCTTTCATTCATGAAAAGGGGAGGGGGGAAAGAAATTGCTAATACTGTTTTGTCATTCATATACCTCAAATAATAGGATCTTCTTCGAAGTGGCTAATACTACATTTTCGTTGCTTGCGTCTTAATTTCTCACAGGACTACATTAGGGACCCGGACAGGAGATTTGCAGCTGATACAGTAGCTGCAATTGGTTTATGTGCATTGCAACTTCCTAAAATGGCTAGTACATGCTTGGAAGGGCTGTTGGCATTGACTAGGCAGGGTCTGTAGTTGGTTTTAGCTAAGTCAAACAAGGAAACTTTAACTTTTCTTCTCTTCTTTTGATTATCTGCTCATTTTTCAGATTCTTTCACTAGTGACGCCAGGGCTTCTGAAGAAGAAGCAGGTGTTTTAGTTCAAGCTATAATGTCAATTAAAATTATTGTAAAGCAGGATCCTCCTAGTCATGAAAAGGTAATGCTATGACTTTGTTCTTCTTAAGTCATTTACATTTCCAATATCCTCATTTGCATGTCCTGATCTTGGTAACTGAGGCTGGTGGCGGATGGTGCTGAAACAAGGTAGACATGTGTTTGATGATGGTGAAATTAGATGTTGAAGTTATCATCTATTTCACTGTATCCCTACTACCAGCTCTCAGAGAACCATGAGCTAGCTGTTGTTAGCATATATTGAATAACTAGTTATTTCAATTTAGTTGGAAAATAGCTGTCAAATGACAAGGTCAACCAATTAAAGCATGAGGCTTGAAAACATGAATTACGAGCAAATCCTGTGCCACGAAATAACACAACAAAGCTTGAAGATGATCATCTCTGCTGTCTTGAAGCTTCTTCTTGTTATTTAATAAGTTTATCTGGTATTGCAGGTTATTGTTCAGTTAGTCCGTAACCTAGATTCCATCAAGGTACCTGCAGCCCGTGCAATAATTATTTGGATGTTGGGAGAGTATAGCAAGGTTGGGGAGATAATTCCGAAAATGTTAATTACTGTTCTTAAGTATATTGCTTGGAGCTTTACTTCAGAAAGCTCAGAAACAAAGCTGCAGACTCTAAACACAGTTGCTAAGGTATTTTTTTGACCTCTTTCAGCAACTCTTAAATTGTTTATCAATCAGTTTCACTAGATTGCGGAATTGAGGCTTAATAGGAATTCTCTGATGAGCTCCAAGGCCTAAGGTGCGAAATGCATCAGACCTTTATAACCTTCCGTGCATGAATCTCTTTTGCCCATTCTGTGCTTGATGCTTTGCGAGAACTCTGCAGTTGATTCTTTATTTAATGTCCTGTAGGTACTGTCAAATTCAAAAGGTGGAGATCTAGAGACATTAACAAAAATAGGTTGTTATGTGCTTGAACTGGCTGAGTGTGATATGAACTATGTTGTCCGCGGAAGAGGCTGTTTCTTCAGGAAACTTCTTTCAAGTCATTTGGGCTCAAAGAAATTGGAAAATGAGGTGGTCACTTCCTCTCAAAATGAAGGCCTTCTCAATGTACTTGCCGAACACATGTTTCATGAACAAGCAACTCAACAGTCCCCAGTACCAGTCAATTATCGAGTCTATCTCCCGGGATCCCTGTCACAGATAGTACTTCATGCTGCCCCAGGGTATGAACCACTGCCCAAGCCTTGTACTATTCTTGATGATGCAGATGCTGAGGCAGAGGTGCCGGAACAAGATGGTTCTGATTCATTTACTGGATCTTTGGATGAGGAAAGTGGTTCTTACAATGGCTCTGACAACTCAGTTGCTTCTGGTGGCAATACTGATAATGGTGAGACTGGTTCCTCAAGTGAGGATGAAAACATCCAAGATCCACTGATTCAAATATCTGATGAGAACCATCTCCGGCCAGCTGGTTCTGCTGATCTTGAGGAACTTATGTCAAGAAGAGATTTAGAAACTTGGTTGGATGATCAGCCCAGTTTACCAAATTCAAGTATACCCGAACAGAGTAAGGCCCCTAGGTCAGCAAGAATTTCAATTAAGGACATTGGGAAGCGAGTGATACCTAAGACATATGAACTCTTAGACCCTGCGAATGGAAATGGCATGAAGGTGGATTATACGTTTTCATCTGAAGTTTCAACAATTTCACCTCATGTTATAACCATACAAGCTTCTTTCGAGAACTGTTCCAGTGAGACTATCTCAAACATAGTGTTGAAGCATGAGGACTTCACGACCAAGCCTTCAGATTCTTATGAGAGGTAACTTTTGTTCCTATCCGGCTTTGGCCAGTTTATGTTACTTGTGACTGGTTTTCTTATCTAGTCATTGATTAGCTGTGATGTTGTAATTTTTCTGGTACCGTTGATGTTTCCATATGCCCCTATCATCACTAACAAAGAAGAAATATCTATATTTTTTTTTATCACCATCAATGTTTTTCTTCAATTCTCTTGTGGCACTAACTGAGCCCACATGCGTTTGACTCGGTTATCACAGCTCTTCTCAGGACGATGTACCGGCATTGGTTCCTATGGAAGAGATTACTTCTCTGGAACCTGGTCAGGCAACTAGGGAGACAATTCATGTCCGCTTCCACCACCATTTGTTGCCCTTGAAGTTGGTCATATATTTCAATGGCAAGAGTCATCCAGTTAAATTGCGACCTGATATTGGGTATTTTGTAAAACCACTTCCAATGGATGTTGATGCATTCAAAGACAAGGAATCTCATCTTCCAGGAATGTTCGAGTGCACAAGGAGGTCAGTTAATTATACTTGGCTCCAACTTTTAATCTTAGTTATTATTATCGCTCTGATGTTATCATTATCATCACTCACTGTGCATTAGCTTTTGATAGTGACTTTTTCTGAAGTTTTAGAAAACGTAGAGAGAATGTGTGTTTGGGAAAGTGCTAAGAAAGAGTTGAGTTGATGGATATGAACGATCTTTTAGTAATAGAAGCTACTGATAGATGATTTTTTTTATGAGTATAACTTAGATTATTGTTTTTCCAAACGTAAGGTGGAAATGAAATATTTTAGCGAGGTGGCTTTAGCTTTCAATAATTGTCGGGGTTCATGATGCATGATAGATCTAGCTTTTGAGCCAATTTTTTTCTTCTTCCAAAAGTACTTATTTGTAGATGAAAACAAACACACCCATTCTGTAATTCAATTGCTTTCCTGTCCCCCTATTTCTTCAGTGCATTAAAAACACGTACTTACTGAGTTCATCTTCATTTTATTTTCCAATTTCCGGGTTTCCAGTTGTATCTTCAAAGGCCATGTAGACTATCTAAACAAGGAAAAGGGAAATCACACATTCACAAAAGACAAGTTTCTGGTAGTCTGTGAGAGCATAGCATTAACAATGCTCAGCAATGCCAATATCTTCCTTGTATCCGTCGACATGCCGATCGCTGCCAAGCACGATGATGCATCTGGCTTGTGTTTGCGGTTCAGCAGTGAAATCCTTAGCAACTCAGCCCCTTGCTTAATTACCATCACCGCTGAAGGTATATGCTCCGAGCCATTGAATGTGGTGGTGAAAGTCAATTGTGAAGAAACCGTGTTTGGATTAAACCTGTTAAATAGGATTGTTAATTCCCTTAGTTGAAGTAGCACTCTGTGTTTTCTCATATCTGTTTGTCTTGATTGCGGTTTGAAGCAAGGAGAATGTGACCAATACCCTTGCCTAGTTTGTTGCATCACACTCTGCTCTTCTCGGTTTATTCCTTCTGTTGCAGTTCATGTTCCTATTGTATACATTATTGGCGTTTGAGTGCTTCTGCTAGTGGATCAATGAATCTGCCCAAGTTGGTGTTTATGTTTTATCAAGTGAAGTGTTTGGTTGGGTTTCAAAATAGTGTTTGCTTAAGTTTCGGAAAAAAAATTGAGTTGTTTTAGCAATAAAAGAACAGTAAATTTGTTGACAAATTGTTTGTTGAATACGAGTGTATCCCAGAAAATGATTATCAAGTATATAACTTGAGAATAAATTCTCATCTGAAATGAGCATAGGTGGAAAATGCAATGATGTTGACTCAATTAACGTATTTCTGTAGTCAAAACGAGCACACCCTTTATTTATCTCTGTATTAACTAGAATGAAGTTATAGAACTTTAGTTACATCATCAGCTGTTCACTTCTGCTGATCTTGAGTGCAAAGCAAGAAATTACCACCTAAGTATTGACAGTCTCTATAATAGCAGTCAGGGTCTTGATTGTTGTGTCAATATCTATCATCTCTACTCTCGTTTGGATTCATTCTTAGAAAGGCAGCAGGTAGCGGAAACCGTATTCATAAGGCTGAATCTCCACCATCTTTGTGGCTGGAGATTTGGTTCCTCCATTCAGACATTCCATCATCAGCCTCTTGAGCGAACCAGAGCGTGATAGCTGGCTGTAAATCCATTCCAGTAGTGAGTCCATATCGTCGGCAAAGTCTCGCATGTGCCATTGCAGTAGCTTCGGCACCACAATCTTTCTCTTGCTCCTCACCACCCCAACTGAAGCTTCTAAGTACTCTGCTTTGGCCCTTCCCAGCTCGTTCACCACTTGGTCTGCTGTGTATACTCTCAACTGCAAATTAAAAAATTGAATTAAGTTCTGGACCTATTATTCAGCTTTCAATACGAAATTTGCCGGGAAGAATTTGGTGACGTACTGCAGGAGATGACCAGTTGCCACGGCAGAGGGCAAATGTCACGTTCGGTTCTGGATATCCAACACCATAAGTATGGCGGAGAAGCATTTCCTTGTCGTCCACAGGGCCCTTTGTAAGTGTAATCGACATCCTTTGTCAGGCTATATATATTGTTTTTGAACTTGAATCTCTCTTGTGGAAGTATTGTACGAGTCTATGCTTAATTCCTCAGTTTATCTACTTACATAGCTTGCTTCACATGGATGCCTGAGAATGAAATGCTCTATAGCCAGAGCATTGAACACCATTCCCCCCACGTTGATTGCAGCCTGTGCTTGTGAATTAAAGAATGGAAACATCACTCACTATTCTTGTTTGAAGTTCATCCTCTGAACCATGATCACCACTCTGCTAGAGTTTTTTAGGGCACATGGATAGTGTGTTTTAGGGAGACATGAAATGAATGTAGCATACCTTGTTCATGATTGCCAACAGTTTCTCCTGTGAGGAAGGCAGTCCATGTTCTAGAAATGCCTGAGATTTTAATGAAAACCAAAGTTAGAATTAATTGCACTTGCGTTTATGAAATATAAACACCTCCGGGACTTCTGTTTTGCTTGATTTTGAATACTGAAAAAGGCGCTCTTACTGTACATGCATTATACAGGAATTGTAGATATTGATCCAGAACGCCAACTTCTGCTTGTATGTCAAGAACGTCAAATCAACATTCCCCAATTTCTGCACCAGATCCCTGAGAAGAAAATGGATGAGAGTTGATTTGTAAGACTTAGTATTTTACTTTCAGAACATCAGCAGCAGCCTAATAAGCATATCCAAAGTCACAACCTTAGCTTTTCAGCAGCTGGTGAAGTTTGCTTGAATCGGCTGCTGATATCCAAAGAGCTGTTTCCAATCTGGATGAAGTTCTTGTAGGGTCCAATGTCTCTGATACCACCACTGTCTTCGTCCGGCATAATTCCATAAGGATCAATGTTCGAAGATGGCGACCCATTGAAAGGGGAAGAAACACACGGTGAAGGTTGTTTACAGTTGAATGATGACGAGATAGCTGCTTTTGGCCCTTTCGAGTTTGTGCGGTGGGAGATGATACTATGCTTTGGGACGATAGCTGAATCTTCTGTTTCTTCAACAGCTGACGTCTGGTTGAGATCAAGAAATATGCCAATGAGGCATCTGGTGAGTTCTTCCGATAGCTCATTTGGCTTCTCGTAACATACTACTTCTCTCTGCATTTTGGGTTCCTTCTGCATGATTGATCTTCGCCTGTGTTGCTTCTTTGGCTTTTCGGCTTCTGCAAAGGTAGTCACGCTCAGATTCTAAAACCAATCCACGAGCAACTATAAATTTGGAACAGTAAACTGGAATGGTGAAAATCATAAGATTTTACGGATCACTCATGTAAAATATTAAAATTTTACTAAGAACACCCTATAAACATTTCCGGATTCAAAAGTTTCTAGCAATGATATCATGATCTAGTCCTCAATTCTGCCAAGTTCTTTGACTGTGCTAGTAAATTCATGAAAGCTTTTACATAGAATCAAACAGAGTTTAGTTGAGTAATCTTATAATGCGTAATCTATACTATCTTTTAGGAATTTGACTCGGGATTTTGACTAGGGGCGTACTTGGGGAAGCAGCAGCAGCAGTGGGAAGAATACAGAACAGTTCTTCTGCAGAACCAGCAGAAGCCCTTCTGAACTTGAACCTCTCCCTTCGGAAACCACCCGCATGGCGCTGTGATTTCGACACCTGGTAGAGATCACCATTAATCACAGAGCGATCCCCTACAGGTGCGCATGGTGGCGCTGGCGGGGGCAGTGGCAAGTAATTCTTCTGATGCTTTGTCTTCTGCCGCCTCTGTTGCTGCTTCAGTTGTAACTTCCTTTCTTTGGCGAGCTTCCGGTCGTTGTACAAGCCGAGTTTCAACTCACCTACTTTCCTCTCCAGCCAGACGATTTCCTCCTCCACCATTGCCATTTCCGACAGAAGCTCCTGCACCTGCTCCCACATCGTAACCAATGTCAGAAACTCCACAGTAATCAATCATCAACCACCCCCACTGAATTGTCTCGGAACGAATAGCTTACGTGAGGAGGAAGCAACGAGGCAAGTGATGAATTCGTTGCTGACGCAACAGGGCCATGAAGTGCAGAGTGCAGCACCTTCCCTATTGCCTGATGTGTTTCCAATTCCGCCTGCAGCTTCTCAACCTGGAAAAATGAAAACCCCATGGGGGGTTATATTTTCAGTTTCACAAACAACCCGAAGAAACTAAGAAGAAGAAGAAGGATGGGAGTTTTACAGACCTCTTGCTCCAGGATGATCCTCTTCTCCTGCTGCTGCTGCTGTTGTTGCTGCTGCTTCTGCTTCTGATCGTCAGCTTGCTCCACCAAGTAATCTTCGAACTTCATTTTCTAAATGGGATTGAACGAATAGAGAAGACAAGTGGGGTTAGGCTTTGTAATGATATAGTAGTAGTAGAGAGGGGAAGGTTTGGTTTGGAGGATGATCGTGGATGCCATTAAAGGTAGGTGATGGTGGAACAGAAGAGTTGACAAATGAAGAAGAAAGAAACAGAATGGATGAAAGAGCGCGGGGGAGAAAGTGAAGGGGAAGGAAAGGGCAGTTTCCGTGGCGTGGCGGTGGATGGCCGGTTGGTGGCGGGTAAATATATTTAGTGAAATGCATGGCTTTCCCATGATTCCTTTTTCTCAAGGTTTCTCCATTTAATTTCCCTTTTCATTTTTCTGGGTTCGTGAAGCAGATTGGTGAGAGAAGGTGACACGACGTGAAGCCCATGAACTGTACCAAATGTGCAGAACTTTCTCCCAAGCGAAATAAATAAATTTGGGGTTGGCAGCAGAAGAATTTAATGGAACCCTCCTCTCACTCTTCTTGTCTGTTTTCACTTTTCACTGTTCAATGGTCAAGCCGTCAGATTACTTCAAGAGAAAAATAGGAGAACAGAAGTTACAGGGTTGTTGAAAATGAAATGCCCCATTGCGTTACTGTAACTAAAAAGACAGTGACTTACGCCGTCTGTGGGAATCGAACCCACGACCACGTGGTTAAAAGCCACGCGCTCTACCGGCTGAGCTAAGACGGCAATCTGGTCAGCACTGCTAGTTGTAAATATTGGTAGTATTTTCTTTGTGATTACAGACAGCTTGAGTATAAAAGTTTGTGAAGAATTCTCGAGTACTGCAGCATGTATTAGTTCGCTTCTTCTGAGGGCAAACGCTGCGTCGGCTATACGTCTGCATCATTCAACTAATACGTATTGAGTAAGACTGTACGTACGTAGGCAGAAAGCTGGTAAGAGATCATACAATATGGGACGATGATGATGAAGACAGCACAAAGCCAACCCAACTCCTTTGCAATTGCAGCAGTAGTTTGCATTAAACGTAAACGTACGTACACAGTACATCCTCTGGGTTCAAACAAGCTGTCGAGAGCTCGACCCCATTATATAATTTGGAGCATACAAAGACGACAACTTTTGAATGCACGTAACTATATAATAATGACATTAATTAAGGGTGATTGGCTGAGAGGCCAACTTTAATTTCTGCACAGTAAGAATTGGCAGCAGTTAATTAACCGCACTGTTCTTGCAAGAATATGCAGCTTCGAGCTTCCCATTTCCCGGCCCAATTTCAAGCAACTCTTTCCACTTGGTGAATCCTGTCATAATAATAAACAATCATTGATACAGAAAAGAAGTATTGGTGTGAGTGTTAATTGATCGGCGATCTAGAAAGAGTAGTATTGGATTAGGGGAGAAAGCAAAAGGTGAATTAATTTAATTACTCATGGCAAGTGGCGCATAGCCAGACTTTTGAATGGATTGAGGTTCTTAAAATTTTTGAGTTAAATTAGGGTCTTTATATAAGGTAGTATCGGTAAAAATATGGGGTCCTACATTTCAAGAATCATGCTAAAATGCATATATTTAAATGATTTTAGTACCCAATTTTTTGCTAAGTGAGGTCCTAGGAGCCATCTCATTAAAGGTTCCCTCCGTACCGGGCCACTGCCCCTGGCACTGAACTAATAACGATCGATCATGTACTGAACCACCACGTACGGACCATCGACTCCACCTTCCTTCGGCCACCCCACACACAACTTATTAAACTTCATATCTTCCCACGTTAATTGAAAACCTCTGCAAAGTTATTTACAAACGTGATACCGCGTGTGCTTTAAATTTAATGTTAATAATAGGGTTGTGAGAAATTGAACATGTGACCTCAAGATAAAACCAACTATGATCATATCATGTCATAAACAAACTAGGCACAATAAATTGGAATGTTTGGAGGGATTCATGTATGAAAGATAACCACTTCATTACGATTACTACATGAAAAACGAAACAGTTCAAAACATAATATTTGTTATTTTGGTTCACATAGAACATTTTTCTCCACTATAAATTATAGTTTGAAGTCTTGACACTCTTCCACTAGAGGTGTGCACTCACGGTCACCCTTGATCTATCTGTCTACTCCTTTTTGGTATAGGGTTTTGCCTGATCAACAATCTTCCTCCCAATCAACCGTCCTGCAATTTACGCAGCCAACATTGTGAGGTTGTGAAAAAGTTTAGATACTAAATATATACGTTTTATCCAACTCAACTTGGCTAAAGCACAAAAATGATGAATGCATACTCCTATTTCCAATTTAACATTTCAATAACTTTATTACAGAAGCTTAGTAACCATAGAAAAAAAAATCTTGATGAGATTATATTAGAAAGAATTCAATTTTTATATATCTGATAAATATTAAATAACTTACTTGTTATACGCTCCGAATTTGGCATATGCGGAGGCGTTGAAGGTGCTGGTTTAGGTGCACAAGGATGATGTATTGGATTCGGACCAGAGGGAACACATCTATCAACAGAAATAGAAGGCTCAAAGGTAATCTTTCGGTCACCTGTAAATATGTAAAGTAATCGTTTATTTGTTATGCCATAATTTTTTTGAATTATATGCTAAATCATTTATGAGAAATTTTTTATTACTTCACTAAAACAAAACAAAAATTTATGAATACATAGTCCTATTCCTAACTCAATTTTTTTAATAATTTTATAAGAACATAGTAACCATTCAAAAACAAAAAAATCTTAATAAGATTGAATTAAAGTAATTTTATTACTTATATAGCTTATAAAATATCAAACAAATTACTTGTTATTGGATCCCAATTTGGCTTTGTAGGTGTCGGTGCAGCCGTATAGATGAACCCTGATGTATTTTATATCTTATAAAATATTAAATAACTTACTTTTTATATGCTCCGAAGTTGGCATATGCGGAGGCGTTGGAGGTGCTGGTGCTGGTCCACAACGATGATGTATTGGATTCGGACCAGATGGAACACATCTATCGATGGAGATAGAAGGCTCATAAGTAATCTTTCGACCTCCTGTAAATATATAAAATAATCATTTATTTGTCATGACATTTTTTTAATTATGACAAAGATTAGTGTACACAATATGCATGCGTTCATACCTATTATTTGTATTTTGATAATTTTGACGAATAAGAACCGTTTATTTTATTTTATAAATGAATTTCTAGTTTGGGTTAGAGAATTGGGGACTAGGGTTCCCATTAGAGGTTAGGGTATAGTATCATGCCCCAAACTCCGATTAATTCAGGGTCTAAATAAAAAAACTCGAAGAACATATGGTAAGGTAAGCGTATGCCAGCCTAGACCTTGAATTCTATGCTATTTTATTTATTTATTTCTTTATGAGAAATGTTTTATTACTTGACTAAAACAACAAAAATGATAATATTAATAATTTCATTAAAAATGAAGTAACCATAAAAACAAAAACAAAAAAGCTTAATAAGATTGAATTAAAGTAAATTCATTACTTATATAGCTCGGAGCGGCATCCGAATTTGAAATATGTGGAGGAGTTGAAGCTGCAATTTGAGGTGAGCCACTGTTGGCAGGGTTAATTTTTTGGGCTGTTGCACTGTTTCCCAACAGCACAAGTGCAACCAAAATTTGCAACATTGCTAAACAAGAAGAAGAGATTGAAAGAGAGGAGAAGAGAATTCTTTTTCGCTGTAGCTGTTTGGAAACAATAAGAGGTTATGGTCCAGTATTTATAGCGTCACACCCTCCAAATACATGTTGGTATATTACTATATCACCATATATATAAAGATCACAATCAAAGTTTTTTTTGCGTGTAGTTTCCAAAGTCTATCTCAACAATTATTTCCTTACTATTTTTTTTTTTCTTCCGATTTTGAAATCTATAAGACCATCTTCATCCCTACCAATTTCTAAATATGGTCTCTACAACAACATTAACAATTTTAGCAATTGTTTTTTAAAAATGTCAAACCAATTACATCCCTAAATTTTGTTCGTAATTGCTATTGTGGGTCCCAACTAATATTTTAAATCTATCAAAATACTTTTCATTGAACAGTAACTAACAATAAAAGAAAAAAATCATTTACACATTTGGCATTGCTTAAGGACTTGTTAATTTAACAATGTTTCTAAATAAGCAATTACCCCTCAATTAACCTCAAAGAGTTGGCCTAATAGTAATGTGAGAATGAGAATATCCACCGCACACTGGGTCCGAACCTTACCAACAACCAACAAAAAAATCCCTCCTTCTCTTGCAATTGCCAATTGCAATGCAACAAAACTTTGGTAAATGCTTTGTTTAGAAAGTCAATGAAAATGCTTTACGAGGTCGTTTGGATGGATTTATGTGATGAGTCAATCTGCTCCTATTGCCTCAAAATGAGATAATTGGGTCTACTTGTTCCATTTGAAAAAGAAGAAAAAATGATGAAGCAATGGAAGGAGAGAAAATGTGAATTGATACATTATGAGACAATTTACAATTAGAATTATCTAGCGCTGGAGAGGTATTGTAGATTGACTCGTTTTTTTTTTTTTTTTTGTGGCTTTCCCATGTGTAAAAATACATCCTCTGGATTCAAAGAAGCTGATAGAGATCTCGACCCATATGTATTTGATGCGTGATAGCGGAATCTCACGTATCGTGGAACTCGAACTCTTCTACGAAACTAATGAAACGCGATAAAGATAGCTAAATTACTCTAATTTACTTTATTCTTATTCATTGCTTGATTAAACCCAAAGAACAACATACATATTTATAGGACTACTCTCATAACTCTTTCCCTCTCCAACAAGGTAAACTAATCCTAACCCAACAAGTAAACACTAACTTCCTCAACAAGACACAATAAACCAATACGATTAGCCACAATAATATGAGAATTAACTAATAATAATCCCCTAATTACTAAGCCCAACTCGGCACCAAGGCCCACGGGCCACGGGAGTTATAATGCACAAGTATTTTGGAACATACAAAGACGACAACTTTGAATGCACGACATTTAAGGATAATGGGGTGAGACCAACTTTAAATTTTCCACAGTAACAATTTGCAGCATCATAACCACACTGTGCTTGCCCAGATGCAGCTCCGAGCTTCCTTTCCCGCTCCAATTTCCAGCCAATCTTTCAATTAGTGAATGTTAATTAAGCAATCAAGAATGAGTAATTTAGGTTGAAATCATCTCAGTAGTGGATTGACATTCGATATTACTGTAAGTCTCTTCACTATCGTTCAAATGGGAACTGTAGTGATTCTAACCACTTTTCATACGATGTTTATTTGAGAAACCAAACAATATCTCATCAGACATAAAAAGTTCAAAACATAACGTTTATTATATCGTTCCTTGTATTTTGATTCACATAAAACATTATTATTCGAATGTAAATTAGAGTATGAAGTCTTGGCACTCTTCCACTTTAGTCGTGCATTGACGGTCACCATTGATCCGTCTACTCTTTTTTGGCATAGGGATTTGCCGCATCAACAAACTTCCTCCTCCCAATCAACTGTTCTGCAATTTACACATGCAACATTGTGAGTTTGTGTATAAGTTTAGATACTATATAAGGCGACTAATTGGTGTATAATCCAAATTAGTTTTAATTCATGGTTTAGATGAAGATGTTTCATTTGAAATACATGAAATAAAGTATACTCCAATAGTACACCAGTCTAATTGTTTTGTCCCACCCAACTTTAACTAAATCAAAAAATTGATAACTGCATAATCCTATTTCCAAATTAATATTCTGATGTTTTTTTTATCAAATAAGCTTAGTACCCATATAAAAACAAAAGAAGCTTAATTGAAGATTACATTAGAATGACTTCATATTTATATATATCATATAAAAGATTAAACAACTTACTTGTCATATGCTCCCAATTTGACATGTGCGAAGGCTTTGAAGCTGCTGGTGCTGGTGCAGGTGATGATTTCGGATGTTTTTTATTATGCAGTGGATTCGGACCAGAGGGAACCAGTCTATTAACGAACATGAAAGGTTCAAAGGCAATATCTAGACCTCCTGCAATTATGTAAATTAAATCTGTCATTTATATGCTATTATGGGGATAAAGATATTTGTTTAATTTTATACTATATGATTTATTTATGAGAAATGTTTAATTACTTGATTAAAACACAAAAAGAATTATGAATGCATGCATAATCCTATTCCCAATTCAATATTTTAATATATTTTCAATAAAGCGTTGTAACCATAAAAACAACAACAATAAGCTTAATAATATTTTAATATTCTATAATATTAAACAACTTACTCATTACGAGCTCCCAATTTGACACATGTGGAGGATTTGCAGGTGCTGGTGAACCATGATGTATTGGATCGGGATCCCTGGGATTAATTTTTTGGCCTGTTACACTGATTCCTAACAGTAAAAGTGCAACCAAAATTCGAAACATTGTTCAACAATGCGATATTGTCACGGTAGAAGACGAAATAATAAGACGAAGAGATTAAAGGAGAGGAGAAGAGAGTTGTTTTTTTTTTTGGGTACTTGGGGTAACAATATGATCCAGTATTTATAGAGAGAGGGAGCAGAATCAAAGTTTTCTGCATGTAGTTTTAGAAAAGTCGATCTCAACAATTATTTCCTTACCATCTCTTTTTCAATTTTTGAAATCTAAGATATGTGTTGATTGTGGGATTTGAGTGATAGATATATGGTATTTAAATCTCAAGTATTATGGACTTGATACAAATCTATTGTTTGTTGAGGTATACAGATTCATGGGACTTATAAATTTTGACTTTTTTTTTAGATACAAATCTGTGGACCTCACGAATTTGTAAATATCACATTTCAATTTGAGATTTGGTTATAGAAAGCAAAAATTTGAAACATTCATAATAAAACGATCAACTAAACATATAACAAATTCTTTCAAATCCATAATGCAACAAATCCATCATAAATCCAAAATTTTCAAAATTCAAAACTGTCATTTTAAAATCTGACAAGCAAACACTCTTTGAAGTGTATTCTTTCCATTAAATACATAGTTTGCAATGTGCAGAAAGTTTCACCTAGCAAGTTACATCCGTATCGTTTTTCAACTTAGACGAAATACACTTCCACAACCTTATAATCACAAATTAACCTTTAATTCTTTATCTTTATCTCTTCATCCTCTCAAGTCTCAACTCGGTCAAACAAAATTAGATACACTTTTGACTCGCAATAGAAAAGCTAAGTGGGCTGTCTTTTCTTGGTGGGCCCCGATCGTTGCATGGTAGGGCCCAAGTTTGTGGGACGTGCGTTGCCATAGGCTTGCCTTGTGGTGTGGTGGGCCTTGGGTTCAAAGGCCCATCAACGTTGGTAACTGATTTTTAAAACTGCTCTACCCGTTAATTACTTTATTGGTAATGGATCATCTACTCACATCCACACTTATAGTTAGACCCACACGTACGCAACTTGTTGATGCGGATTAGTTCCAATATTCCTTCTCCACTGGTTAATTTGGGTATATGATTGGACTTAATATCATCTGGAATTTAATTGATGTGTCAAATAAGCAATACAATGACCAGGAAGAAAACAATAGGGAGGAAGGATTTAAAAAAAAAAAAAAAATACTGGACAGGGAATAAAGCCAACCCATTACCAACAGTGATAACCACCACTAACCATTTTTGTACATAGGTACCTAATGATTTATTTTCTAGTATATATCCTACTAATGTAAGGCCATTGTTGATCGATCGAATGTGAAGGGTCACAAGGATGAGACACATGTAGGAATGACAATGTAGGTCAACCTATTGCGTAATTTGATTAATTGTCATGATTTGTATGGGTTAGTCAGTTCCATACGTACTCTTAGTGGTTGAGTTTGGATCCGCCCCAAATGAGTCAAAGATGACTCTACGTACAAAAATGTAAGATCGACCATCTAATTAACTATCTTTAACGTAATCCACACTTTTAGAAGCAAGAATCCATTTTCTTTTAAATATCCAATACAATGAGTCTAATTTAGAATTAAAAAAAGGATATAGTAATAATAATGATGGATACTAAAATTACAAATTCTAATCCAAAAAATAAAGAACAAAAGCCAACATTAATGCCCTTGAAAGAAACAACACTTACCCATCCATCATCCATTAGGTAGGTTTAGAAAGATCCAAATGAGGGGGGGAGGTGGAGGAAACAAAGATCACTTGCTTATTTGTGAATTTTAAACGGGAAGAGAAAAGAAACGAGGCGGGGGAAAGCAAGGAGAGGGAAAGGTTAATTTAGGATATGATTATGATACACAAGGAGTCTAAAGGTGAAGGGGAGTACGTTTTATTTGGACTGATAGAGCATATGCATGTCGTTTTCTGGGCTCTTTTTATTTTATTTTATTTTATTATATTATGATGTGAGTTTTATATGCTTTGGAGCATTCCAATGTGTTAACTGTTAAGTCTATAGAGTAGGGGGTTGTTTTATTGTTTCACAATCCTCCTTATCCAACACGAAAAGTAATCTAGGTTGAATAAAAACCAATAATACAACGTCGATGAAGGGCCGGGTGGGAGGTGTCACCTAAAGCAGAAACCTCAGTCAGGTAGAGACTGCACCACTCCCACCTCTTCTTCCTCTTCAACCCTACCAAGAGTCAATATACCATGCACCAATAACAATTAATAACATCTTTTTGCTTAGAGATGATGACAATTTCAATATGATTTGTTGTATTCGATTTGTTTCGTCGGTTTTGGGCATGAATCATTCTCGGATAATTTCGATATAATTTTTGTATCCGATTTTTCTCGTGCCACTTTGCTCATTGAAGTTTCAACAAAGCTGCCCACCTCATAGCTAAAACAGACCCTTTTATCGGGAGTCTAACGGCAGACGATCATGACCTGTGGACTTACCTTGGATAAAATAAAAATAAAAATAAAAAATAAACCTTTGAGTTACTTTGAGATATTTTAGTCAAGATTAGATAGCCGGACTTAGAAGGAGACCAGGCCCCACCCTATCAGAATTCCCAAATTGCGTTACGCAATGCCACGTTCCCAAGTACTTACTCGAAAGAAAACAGTTGGGCAACAAAACAAAGGCAACCCGGATCGAGGACAACAAGAGCTCGTCTGGATAAGGAGTATGCAGTGTTTAGCAGCAGCAGCATTCATTGTCACTGCCACTGCTTACATTAAAATTGCCGGTTTTGTCGTTTCTCCCCAACCAAAACTACCATAAAACCCCCCAAACTTCTGGGGACACTTTGTTTCCACGGATAATAATGGACACTTGGTATTCTTTTCTTGCACCTCCAGCCCAAAACTAGTACAGAATCAACAAAAGCAACTTCTCCTGGTACAAAACCTCAATTTGTCCTCCTAATTCCATGTCCTTAACCCATAATGAACATCATCAATGCCCCGTAACACATCACATTGTAAACCCAATAAGACATTCACATTCACATGAATTTACAGGCCATGTAAGAAGCTTGCTCAAGGCCAAGAGCCGTTTCCTGTATTGGTATAGAGCATACACAGCAACCAAACACATCTATGCATGCATATTATACATATATACAGTTTTCAGTACACTGGGTTGCTACATTCCTACAATACCCTAGTAATGTATCTCACAAAGGGAAAAGAGACAGCATTCTATAACTAAACTGACCACCAGCTCTTAATTATCAGAGCATCATAGCAACTACCCTTTTCTTCTCATCCTTGCTAGCTGAATATATACAATACACCCACTCCATAAAACAAACTATACCAACTCCTACCGTATGTATAAATATATATGTATCAGTGTAAAGGTTACTGCATCACTACACACTACTACTATTAGTATACTGCTACATAGACAACCCTCCCTGTGGTTTTCTTGGCTTCAGAATGGGGCGCGATGAGGTACACCCTTCCTCCTCCTGGCGTTTCGATGATTGTATATGGGAGGAGTTGATGGGGAAATGTTGGTCGCAGCTTCATCACCTGAGCTATCCCTTCCATCACCGGCTCCGCTGTTGATGGAGTGGATGGATAGCCTGTCCATCAAGCGATTGAAAAAATTGGTCCTCCTGATCTTCTTGGGAGTGGACGATTCATCATCGTCATCATCGGAGTCGAACTCTCCCAGGAAGTGATGATCTCTGCTGTTGTTGTACTTCTCCCGGATTGAGAATGTGAGGGTTCGATCTCCTCGCTTCATGCCTCCCAGCTGATAAGAGCAAGACAGAATACCACATTCATTGTTTAGCATGAAAAATGAAAACAAACTGTTGATGAATTGAAAGAATGCAGAAGGAATCGAGGGTGGGGGAACCAACCTTGCAGCCGAGGGAGCAGAACCTGAAGGAATCGAGGAGGCTCCTGCAACATATCTCGCAAGTGTTGGTAACCCCTTTCCCTGGCCTAGGCTGAGGCCTCTCGTTCAAGAACACAATCTTGGCACTGTTGATAATGTAAGTCTGGACGCAGGCAATGTCTATGTACTTCTGTATCTCGTTTACTCTCACCACGTTATGGTACGAAGATCGACGAATCTGCAGAGCAGATAGAAGGAAGAAAGAAACCACACCCATTAGCTCTACAATCAATCGAATCCCAGCTCATCAATTAAGAGCTTAAATCACACTACCATCATCATTACCTGAACAACACGGTGGTCTCTGTGGTTGATCAAGCAATAAGAGCAGAGAGCACTGCCAGTGCAGTCCAAACAGAACATGTTGCATTCGCTCTTGTTGGAATCGCCATGGAAGGGGCAGGGGTGGAAGTAGCTGGCTCTCAGCATTGGTTTCAACCACGCCGGTCCTAGGTCCCTGTGACCGCCGCCCGTCATTTGGTGGTCGATTGGGCTCACCTGTATCCAAAAACACCGCAATCAAATATCAAACACCACACTACATCCACAAACACAAAACAAAAACCAGAGAAACCAACACGAACCCTACCAGACTGAAACAAAAACAGAAACCAAGATCAACAAATGGGAAGTAATACAAACCATGAGCAAAAAGGTGGGATTATCTTGGATTACTCTGACCAGAAACTATGGAGGGTTGACCCCCAATCTAGAAGCCCTGAGAGAGAATCAGAGGATAATGGAAACAACCCAAATGAGAAAATTGCAGAGGAAAGAAACCAAGTAGCAGCAGCAGCTGAAAAAGGGTATAATCAGTTCAGCAAATACAGAAAAGGAATCAAAATGAAAAGGATGGAGAAAGAGAACCTTTAGCAGGAAGAAGGCGGCCGCAACGAAATGGCAGCAATAATAATGGTAATGGGAAAGAAGAAGAGAAAGGATATGGCAGGCAGGGGAAGAGGCAGAGTAAGAAAAGGAGCGAAACAGGATAGACGCAGTAGCTGTAGTGTATAGTTTCCAGAAACCAAATTTTGATGCAAGAAAGAGAATTAAATCAAAAACTTCATTTTTACTATTTTATTATTTTCCAGTCTTGGCTGCTGAGTGATGTTAGTATGTTACACGGGAGAAGGCAAAAATAAAGTCGTATTTTATTTAATTAAGGCGGTCGCCGAAACAGCGAAACAGGAATAGTCCCCACAACTTGAGAACCCCTAAAAATGCTTTACTTTATTTTTTATTTGGATAAAAAAAAAAACTAAAAGCTTTTGGAATGAATAAAAAGGAAACGTGCCACATCTGACCACCTCCGATACCATCGAACGGACAATAATTAAGGATCGACAGGACACTAAGCAAATTGCCCCCGTCCCCATCTCGCCAGGAGACTGACAAATTTCCACCCTTGAAAACAACGACCTTCCTTGCAGAATCACGTCACGGTGGCGCTAATATTTATTGTTTATTATTATGATTTATTAATGGACCTCACAAGATTACCAAGTTACTTGCTGGGCAAGTCAGCCGTTTGTCTGTTCCCCCCTGTTTCCGTCCCCCTGCCGGCGCCGGCCACTTCAGACTCCGACGACAGGTGCACACGTCACTGCTTCGTTCAGACGGATGCCGACAGAACTTACCTTGGAAAAGAGATAACGAAGAGGCTGGAAACAACGCTTGTCAAACGCATCTGCCGTCGCAGGAATGAACGACCACCTGTCACTCTAGCATTTCCTAACCCAGATGTAAACATTCTCACGTAGGGCAAAGAAACAAAAATGAAAATAACACGTCGTTGGGTAGCGTAGTTCCAACGGCGTGGCAATTTTGGCATCTGGATAAAGAAAAGCCATAAATCTATTCACCATGAAGATGGAAACATTCTTACTCCGATATTGCATTGACAGAGAAAGAGAGTTTCATCTGTGCGCAGACGACAAACCATGTCAAACAACAAGGACCATCCAAACGCCGTTTCTACTTGATTCGTTTATCATACAATGCAGGTAGCAAGAGTGCTCTTCAGATGATGGCGGATGGTGCTAGATCATCAATCATCTGCCATGGCGGCGGCCCGGGGACGGGATGGGAGACCTTGATCTAGAACCTGGTGGGGAACTCGACATGGCGACGGCAGGCCTTCGGCCAGGTGAAGGTGGCCTTCTCCACGCTCTTTCTTCCTCCAGGCCATGGTCATGTTTCCTGCACCAAAATTTGGCCTTTAGAGATTATCCGAAGAGCAGAAAGAGAACCATGTTGGGGGCTGTAGAGAAACAAAACAAAAAGGTCACTTACTCAGCGTAGCCATTCCCTTTATTGTCTAGATTGTCTGGGTTGCCATAACCCTGAGGGGAATATGATAGCCTGCCGCGGCCAATGTCTCGTTCAGGCGGAGCAGGACCTCTGGGAGATGGAGATCTCGACGGAGATCGAACTGGAGGGTTAGGGTGCCTCCTACCTGGTGAGGCCGGCGAGTAGTCTCGGCGGTGTCTTGGAGCAGGAGGAGAGTAGGACCTAAACGCAAGGTCCAGAAACATGTTTAAATCTCAGGCAATCTTTTCACGAGTAGAGCAATATGTCGATATGAGAGATGCTAACCTTGAACGGTATCTAGACCTTGATCCGTGATGGTGAGGAGAGCGAGACAGCGAACGAGACCGAGAGCGCCCTGAAATTATGGCAACAATAATTTGACATAAACAGAAGGCTATAAGAAGACAAGTTTCCTGTTAACGAATTTCCAAATCCCAACTTTTGGAGAGTACAACTAAAGGTGTCAGCATGTACCATAATAAGATGATCTCTCCCCGCGACCTCCTCCCCTGCAAGATGTTTTAAACATTAGATGAATCATTTAGAAAACTACTCATGAGAAAGTAATATGCATCAAGGAGATCACGGTTACCTAGTCCGAGTTCTATGGCGCATGTCCTCAGGCCTTTTCCTGGACTCTGCAGCAACCACCACGGATATCTCCCTGCCAGCAAATATTTGTCCATTCATTCGACGCTGAGCTTCCAGGGCATCATACGAATCCACAAATTGGACGAATGCAAAGCCTCGAGGTTCCCTATTAAAAAGAGCAGCAAAATAGGATCGTAAGGCTACAGTGTTTTGAGTATAACCAAACAAGAATGATTTAATGATGATAAGTGAACTTGCTGAAAAGAGATCCCTAAATTCGTCCATAACTCAAGCATTTAGTGGTTAGTATACCTTTCTTCTGCCTCCAGTGCACTTACAAGTATGATGACACTGAACTTACAAAAACTCAGGCTAGTGGCTGACATCTTCCTTAAAAGTCAAAGTATCAAAGCCAACTTGAAAAGATGCAAGTCACTGGTAATTTCTTCAAATGCTGGTAAATACAAGACCAACTTCGACCAATGTTTCCCCAAACTAAGTCTCTTCAAGTCGTCTTCAGACGGTCAAGAATGAGTCCTCTTTCATCATCAAACCTCTACTGTTGGATAATTTCATAATTTCTCTTCATAAAGGAACATTCTTCATTTCGACATTATCTTGAGTTGAGAGCAATATGTTAGGGAATGTTTTACAGAAGGCCTTCATCAGTTGTGGGGCTTGGTCTTGATTTTACTTCAAACCAACAACCCCCCTGATAAACCATTTAAAATCCAGTTCACCATGAAAATGAAAAACATGAGACCATTGCATATAAAATTTCATGAGCAGTACAAGCATAAGAGATGCAGGAAACTGCCTAAAGTAGTCTAACAATGGTCACCACTCAACAGCATTCACACACAATTAAAATACAGGGCACAGTACCATACACCAAGATGTAGCTGGCATGATCTTAACTGTACTATACTTGCACGTATTTAGACAATGTCAAGAATTCTAAGATTAGCAAACCTTAAACTTCTAAAGAGATCCATACTTGGTGTATTACAAAGAGAAACGAAAAAATTGCCAAAGAGGAAGGTGTAGCAAGCAAACAAAATACCAGCAAAAGCTCAACAAAAGCTCACCCTGTGTAAAAGTCCTTTGGAATGTACACATCTCTTAGAGCCCCGAACCGCTGAAATGGAGCCTTAAGTTCTTCTTGGCTGCCAAGTATCAACAAATGAGCAAAATGACTCTCAAACAAGGGCCGAAAACAATCACTAGCTCCACGTCCAAGGTAAAACTCACCCGCAATCAAGAGGAATATTACGGACCAAGAGGCTGCCTTGGTTGTCCTTTCGCCTACCATAACCTCCACCGCCGCCGCCACCACCACCTCCTCCTCCACCACCACCACCACCTCCATAACCTCTCCTAGGCGGACTCCTTGGTCGACCTCCATATCCTCTCCTCGGAGGGCTATAGTACGGCGGGCTGTACCTCCTCATAACACCACCTAGCCATTAAATTACAAAGCTTCATGTTATCCTCCTCATAATAACTTTTGCCGCATTCAATTCAAAATTCCCTACATTGAAGAAGCAACATTCAACGGGACACACTGGTAGGAAGTAAAAGAAAGCAACGAACTGGTATTCAGAGCAACAATAGCTCATGCGAGAGTTCTATTTCAGCTGCGAAACAACGGGCTAGGGCTTTGATTCTTTTTAGGTCAAGAAGCTGATTACAGCGACGCCCTCTTAAATTCAGATATACCTGTAGACTTGTAATGCAAGCAGCAAAGATTCCTGGCGCACGAGACACGCCGACCGAAGTACTACGCGTTCTTCTTCGTCTTCCTTCCTCAAACTTTGATTTTGATCTCCCTCCCGACTGACTTCGAGAGCAGCGAAATTGAACTGTTGCTGTCTAAATGGTGGTCGGAGGAAGTAATTGAAACGGTTGTTATAAACCCTAGAAATTGGATTTGGATCTGATATTGGGCTGGACCGTCTCGTTTCTATCGTTGACGCGATTATGCAAACTTTGCGGCTAGACTTTGGGCTTCGATCGTGCGATGGGCCCAATTAAGTTGGCCCATTCGGTAGTAGCCGACTAGGGACTACCGAGTACCGACTAGCCGATCATATGACAAAGTTTATGTGGAGTCCGATCACCTTTATTTTCCGACAATTTGGCAAGCAAAATAGAAATTTAAGTAACCTTATCCGAGGCTATAACCAAAAGAATCCCTGGCAGTATTTATGGATTAATCATGATTCAACAATTTTATACCGCTTATCCGATAGGCAATTTTTTCGGACGAACCATTGATACGATACGGTTTTACAAACAGCCAAATAGTTTCACCTCTGCTCTAGGTACTCTCATTTCTGATATGAGAATATCACAATTCCAGCAAACAAAATACAACTTCTAACATCACATGATTCTTACAATTCCTCCAGACCTTAGTCCTTAAAATTCATGTAGTCTGCGTTACATGCTTGCCGAGCAACCTCTAATTTGAAAATTATGGATTATATATATCAGGTGTGAATGCCTGGGCAGCGCGCTGCTGGAGAAACTGGCCTTTACACTCTTCATAATCTTCGGTCTGCATGAAAGATATGGTATAACCACCCAGCGTAGACAAACTTCAGCAGACCAATGGTGGTAGCAGGAGGCAAAATCTAAAAACCAAAACCGCCCAATGTCATCAACTTTGGCATCAGCATGCGACTGCAAGCTCGGTCTCAGGTGGTGGCGAGATTTCTGAATCAGTGAGCAAAGGACTTTTCTGGAACTGATTTCTTAGCTGACCACAAGCTGCACTCGCATCCATCCCCCTTGGTTGACGAATGCTCACAGTTACTTTACGCGCCTCTAGTGTGGAAGCAAAATTTAGCACCTGCAAAGGAGAAAATGGGGAACTTATTCATCTGACAAACCCTAAAAGTAAGTAAGATTGAACCCGATCTGCATAGATGAGGCCTACCCCCTTTTTAGTTGGACGTTGATAATCAGATCCTTCAATTGGATTGAATGGTATGAGGTTGACATGATAATTGCGTCCCCAATTCTGCAATAACTCAGCTAGTTCTACGGCATGCTCTGTCTTATCATTCACTCCAGCTGCCAAAAAAAAAAAAAACATGACCTTAAGAAAATTGTATGTATGAAGAAAGGAAGGAGAAAGAGTTTCCGGTTAGGGCAGTCAATACCTAAAAGTGCGTATTCGAAGGATACCCGCCTACTGGTTTGGAGAAAGTAGTCCTTACAGTCTTGCATTATTGCATCCAGAGGATATGATTTAGCACTTGGCACTATTGTCTCTCTGAGTTTCTGATTTGAAGCGTGTAAGCTGCGGGGCAAGAGGAAAGGAAAAATATATCAATCTCATGCAGACTAAACAAACTGCTGACGAACTAACTTTTGTGGAACTAGACCATGTAAGAGGTAGTGGAAATCTGCATCGATGGGTTATTCACTTATTTGGATAGTAGTATCCCGTTAAGAATGACAGTTGGTATACCTGAAAGCCAAGGTTGATTGAAGCTTATGGGAGGCCAGCTTCTTTATTGTATTTGGAACCCCAACTGTAGAAATTGTTATCATTCTTTGCCCAATTTCAACATCCTGAAGAAGCAATAATGATCCAGTACATGTTAGATAACATGTAAAACAACCATAATGGTTTACTTTGTGAATAGTTCCGTTTCTGTAACATAATTTAGAAGCAATTGAGTAAACAGGAAAACAACGAATCTGGGAACCCAAATAAGCATAGTAAACTATGAGCACGAGAAAAATCTTCTCTCGGCTAAACTATAATGCATTTGCAGACAACAATTCCTGTCAAGGTTACAACAGGCTGATTGAAACTGTGCGTGCACCTTATTTAAGCACCGGTGTGCTCCAAGTACTGCCTTCAGATTCAACATTGGTTCACCCATTCCCATGAATACTACATTTGTCACTCTGTGCTTGAAGATCTCTTCAATAGCCAATACCTGCGATTATAAAATCCTCTTGGGATAAATATTGCTTTCTAGTCGAACCAAGTCAATTCTTTTGGGGCAGAAAAATCTCCGGCTATATGCTTATCTAAATATAAAGAATACACTGCTAAAACAAAACAGAACACACACCTGTTCAACAATCTCATGTGCCTGAAGATTCCTTGAAAACCCTCCTTTACCAGTGGCACAAAATGAGCAACGGAGCGGACAACCTACCTGAATGCCCACAAAAGAGTGACAGGAAGTTAGTTTTAGCAGATACCGAGAAACACCAAGTTGGAAGACTAGAAAACTAGAAGAGAAAGGAAGTGCAAAGCAGTGTCGCAGGCAGCAGACCATTTGGTTGGTAAATCACCTGTGATGAGACGCATGCAGTTAGGCGAGTTAAACCTTTATCATCGTTCACAGGGATGCCAACAGTTTCAATCAGTCTGTTGTCTTCGAGTTTGATCAATAACTACAGAGTAACAGGAAAGTAATCGCAAATAAGTGGATGAAAATATTACTAATGACCCATGAAAGTCCCTTCTTCTTATTTAAGCAATCCACCCTGTTGAGGATCAACAGATTAGCAACATAATTAGCCCCAATCCAAGTTAGGTTCAGACGAGCTCACCTTAATAGTACCATCAGCAGCCGTAACAGTTCGAAAGATTGGAGACCGCCCAACTTTCCACCCAGCTTCTTGAAGAACATTTCTAAATGCCTTGGGCACTTCAGATAAAATTCAAAATTTCAGGAAACATATCATGAACACCAATCATCCCTAACAGTTTTAGGTTCAACTGAAACAAAGAAAGAACTTACACTGGCTAAAATCATCTACTTCCTTCACTTTTCTTTTGTATATCAAGTGATGAAGCTGCTTTCCTCTGTAGCCTTCCTACGTATTCAATTCCCGAGCAGAGAATAAATAGTAAACATTAGGAGCAAAACTAGGAAGAAAAAAGAAAAGCGTCAAACTTCAGAGCAATTTCACCCGCAACTGTGAGTGCTTTTTGGGGGTTGCGGATAGGAATTACCTGGCCGAGGTCAACAGCTAACTGTTGAAGTTCAGGTTCGGACAAGCCAAGGAGGACGCGCGTATCGGACTGTGCAGCTGAAAGTGAACGAGGCGACGACGAAGCAGCTGCCGCCGCGGCGGCTGTGGATAGGTTGCGAGCTGAGGCAGCTGAGAGGGAACGGAAGCCTGGCCGGACGATGTTCGCGACTGAGACGGAGCTAACATGCTGGAGCAGCGTTGAAGAAGCAGCAGCAATCATCATTTTGCCTCCACCTTTCCGTTTCCTTCTCCGTTCGTTTTCTTGAACTGGGAGCTTAATTGAAGCTCTAAAACCTTGAACAAAAAAATTGCTTGCTAGCCATGGCACTTGGAAGTTGGAAGAAAAACCTCAGCCGTAAAGCTGGGGAAGGACGATAATAGCCTTACTCAGCATTTGATCCGGCCCATTCTTGTGTTGGGCCATTGATCATCCATTGCAAGGTTTTTCCACGTTCCACGCCTATCAATTATCATACAAACACTTCAGATTGGTTTGGTTTTGGTGATTGTTAACTTGATATATTTCATAAAGCAATTGTATTTAGTTTGTTAGTGAAAAGTATATAATCCAAGATTGAACCTATCCCAACAACTTGAGTTATTATGATCAATTGGTTCTTGACATGATATCAGAGCCTTATGTAATCGAAAGGTCTAGTATTCAAATCCCGGTGACCCCATTTGTGAAACACATGTATTCTTGTGTTCAGAACATGTGAAACACATGTATTCTTATGGCTTTCGTTTGAGGGGGTGTGTTAGTGAATAGTATATGATCCACGATTGAACCTATCCCAACAACTCGAGTGCCCCTTATGAAGTGACTGACTTTCGTTTGAGGGAATGTGTTAGTGAATAGTATATAATCCACGATTGAACATATCCCAACCACTCGAGTTGACACAGTCAAGAACATGCAAGCCGAACTGACATTGGGGAGAAAAAGGTAAAAGAACTGCTGTACTATTATAACAAATCATGATTCAACACCACAAACTTTTGGCAATTCACCCTCGGATCAAAGTCGAACACACAACACAACCAACCACCGTTGGCATGCATCTATCGACATAAAGAAGAAGCAGATAGTTTGGGGGAAGAGGGATCCCTTCAATTACCCACAACATGAACTCCATTCATCCTCTTCCTTCTCGGTTTACCACCATTGTTGACTCGTGCTGCTTTCGATCTTGATCCTCCTGATAATTTACCCTCATTACTACTACTGCTACTGCACCCGTTATAAATCTGCTCCAAACTTCTCACAACTTCTTCCATGGTTGGTCTACACTTGGGGTCTGCTGACAGGCATATCAGTGCTAGTGCCGCCACTTTCAGTGCGCAGCTGACACTATACTGCCCTTCAATCTTTGGATCCATCACTCGGGAGATCTTTTGCTTGCTACTCAAGTAAGGCCTTGCCCATTCCACCAGTAACATCTCCCTCGACGGCCCCTGCTGGTCACTGGCTCTCCTGCCCGAAATTATCTCTAGCAAGACTACCCCAAATGTATACACATCGCTCTTTGATGTCAGACGCCCTTCAAAATAGGACAGAAAGAAGAACACTCAGTGTGAGCAAGACAAAGGAGAAATGGAAGCATAATTTTGGGGGATATGGTTTCTTTCATATCAATGTACACAACATGTATGGTTACCTGCCATCTTGTACTCAGGAGCTCCATAATCAAATGTGGAGCTGATTCTTGTGTCGTAGGGGTGCAAATTCTCTATTGGGTCATACTTGGCTAACCCAAAATCAGATAGCTTAGCATTGTAGTTCTGTTTCCATTACACAGTTTCAGGAGAATGCATGTTGTTAGAGAGTTGCAAGGCAGAGTGAGTGCTAGTTATGAATACAGTGAAAAAGTCATTAACATGTTATCATTTTTCACGTTACCGAATCGAGAAGGATATTGGAAGTATTGAAGTCCCTGTATATCACTTTGGCGTTGTCGCTGTGAAGGAATGCTAGACCTTTCGCAGCATCTAGTGCAATTTTCATACGCAGGTTCAAAGACAAAGGTTGGAAATCAGAATCCCCTGTGATGACAACAATAATGCTTCAGACACCATTGTTCCTGCTAAGAAACTGATACAATATCCAATCTGATGGCTTTCATAATGACTCGAGTTATCGAGATTTTGCCGTGCTCATATGGTAATTAGCACAAGGAAAAGATTTGTAATAACTCACTTCTGAAGAGATGATTTCCCAAGCTGCCCTTAGGCATGAACTCATGGACCAAAAACCGGCGTTCGCCCTCGATGCAATAAGCAATCAATTTCACTAGGTTTGGATGGTACAGCTGCCCTAGGTGGTTGATTTCCGTCTATCACCATGCCACCATTAACAAAAACACATTACACACACAATCTGGTTTCATTTCCTCTTTCACATTTCTAAATGCCAAGAAATTAAGAGCAGCAAAAGTTTGTAGATATATTACCAGCCATTCCTGGTCGCCCTGACAGCTCTCTTGACTAAGCCTCTTGACGGTAATAATAATCCCAGTTCCAGGACTTGCAGCAGTGAGTGAATTCTCGTCCACCCATCCTTTGAAGACATAACCAAACCCGCCTTCATCCAAACTATCAGGGCGAAAGTTTCTAGTGGCTGCCTTGAGATCGCTGAAGGTAAAGCTCTTCAAGTTTGTGGCTTGGAAGATTTCACCTTCTTTCCTCGCCCCTGCCAAAACCCACAGCATATTTGAACTTAGCATAAATTAAAACTGAAATTGGACTCAGCATAGTCGCCTCTAACGCTGACAACTAGCCTGAACTAGGTTTCATCTTTGGGAGACGGCCCCCCCAATAACAGCTGACTTCGCTAGCCTCTCGAGTTTTGTTCAACACAACAATGCTGAGTTGACAATACAGATCGTCGTCCTAGAGCTTCAGGAAACAACCCAGAACAAAAAGGACCTAACAATAAGCTATGATCAGCAAAACTATGGAAAGAAGTGGGAAAGGTACCATTAGAGAAGGGGCTTTCAGCTTTTATTCCGGAACTAAAGCAGGAACCCATGAAAGAACACGACCAAGCTTCCCTTACCGGAAAAAGAAAGAAGAAGATATCAACTGTTTTCTCAGCAGCAAGAAAGGAAGAATAGGAAGAGACCCAACTCTGGAAAGTTTCCCAGCTTTGCAGAGACAGGGCGGAGGACGAAAGAGGAGAAGTCCCTGAGGGAGGGAAGAGAGAAAGCGAGGTAGAATGTAGTGCGAGAGCGGTAAAATGGAAAGGTAGCCCTTTTCTTTCATATATGGAGATGGGGATGGGGTTGGTGATGTGGAATCATCATTCATAAAGATAGGCTCTCTGTCTGTCACCCATATGAACGATGGACCTTCCCAGTCACATACTTCGACTGTTTTAAGACTAAAGAGGTCAATGATATATCATAATTTAAGTGGGGGAAATTTCGCGGGAAACTATAATAGCAGGAAAAGTGAAGGTAAGTTTCGTAGCCGGCTGGGATGCCTGGTGAGTTTTGTTTTTCCATAGCTGGAGCAGTTGTTTGTTTGGTTGCTGGAAAAATTAATTAAAGACTCTGCAAATCCCATCAACTTGCAAAAGAAAAACAGTGGGCTGGCTTGGCGCACTATTAAGCATAAGGAAGACTAGTGGCCAGTGGGTTATGTACTTATGTTGATACCAATTATAATTCTTTAAGACTAACAAAAGACTGTAAATTGATGGAATACTCCTCTACAATAATTCACTTTTGCCAACTTGGTACACAAATCAGCTATCAATTCTGAAGGAAAGGCTTGGAGCCGCTCTTATCCGCTATCTGGTTTATTTATCCCCTAATCAGATACCGAATGCAACACAGTTTCAAGAGTTTCAATCAGTTTGTTGTCTTCCATTTCAATCAATAAACGCAGGGTAACAGGAAATTTAACAGATTATAGATGAAACATTAGCAACAAGATCAATTTCACTCGGTTCTGTGAGTACTTTTTGGGGCTGCGAATTGGAATTACCTGGCCGAGGTCAAGAATTAGCTGTTCAAGCTCCAGTAAGGACAAGCCAAGAAGAAAGCGCGTATCAGGCTGGGCAGCTGCAAGCAACCGATACGAGGACAAAGCCGCGGCTGCAACAGCGGCGGTGGCGAGGTTGCGAGCTGTGGCGGTGGAGCGGGAGCGGAAGCCAGGCCGGACGATGGTCGCGACGGAGACATGCAGCAGCAGCGACCATCATTTGGGGTTTCCCTTTCCCTTTCCCTTCATGGACAGATACTTGGAACTTGGAAGAATTGCTAACTTGGCAAGGACAATAATAAAGCCTTACTCTACCGTTGGTCCGGCTCATTATCGATTTGGGCCCGGATAAATTGGGTTTCCGATGTGTTCTTAGTTCGTCTTGTGGCGCCTATAAATGAGCCCAAATATCTCTTTTGTCACAACACCCTTAAAGCCTAGACCCTAGTACACTAGTACTCCAAGTCTCCAAGATCATCATCATCACCATTATCATTAGTTAGTTATTTCTAATTTTCTATCTTTTAGCAAATTACGCTTTGATACCTATATTTTTTATATTTTACATTTTGGTACCTAAAATTTATATTTTTATACGAAAAATATCATTGGAAATTTACATTTTGGTACCTAAAAATTTTCATTATGACATTTTAGTACCTAAACTTTTCAAAATTTACATTTTGGTCTAAGCCTTGGATGTTATTTGGATTCATGGATCAATCCACCAATCCATTAGATCCAATCCATGAATCCACCAATCCATTGGATCCAATCCATCTGATCCACGAATCCGATCCAATTGCCACCTCTACCAGAATTCGAACACAAGACCTCCCAGCCACAACAGGCTCTGATACCATGTTAAGAACCAATTAGTCCCAATAATTCGAGTTGTTGAGAGAGGTTCAATAATGGATTTTATACCACTCACTAACAGATCTGGGCCGGCCGGTGAGTTCAACAAGTCAAGCGCCACCTGTATCTTCTTGTAGTTTTTGCTTAATATAAAACTAACATAGTATGTTAACTAGAAACCTAGTGGTGGATCTCAAGGATCCATTTCCAAGACAGGATTCTTCACCAACGTTTGTCTTCTTTGATGGTTCTTTCATCTTTGTCTTTGACGGATCATCTCATCTATACTATGATGGAGAAATCAAGTAACAAACCACATAACAGGAGAAGTGATGATAACATGATTCATGAACCACTCTGCAGTTACAGCAGTTTCCAGTCAAGAACATGTCAAAACCGAGTTGACATTGGAGGAAGCGAAAGAAGAATGCAAAAGCTGTACAATGATATCCGGCTTCAAACCTGTACATCCTCGGATATACAACAGACAAACTTCCCAAAGTTCCAAAGCAAAAAATGCACATTCGGCAAATTCCCTTCTATGAACGGAGAGGTGGAGCAGATGGTCTGGGGGAAGAAGGAGCCATTCCATTACCCACAACATGAACTCCATTGGTCACCTTCCTTCTCGGCTTCCCACCACCATTGTTGAGTACTCGTGCTTCTTGCGATCTCGATCCTCTTGTTAATTCACCCTCATTACTACTACGACTAGTACTACTGCACTCGTGATGAATCTGCTCCAAAATTGTCAACACTTCAGCCATGTTTGGTCTGTACTTGGGCTCTGCTGACAAGCATCTCACTGCTAGAGTCGCCACTTTCAGCGCGCAGCTCACAGTGTACTGCCCTTCGATCCTTGCATCCATCACTTGGAAGATCTTTCGCTTGCTACCCAAGTAAGGCCTCGCCCATTCCACGAGGCTCTTCTCCCTCGACGGCCTGTTCTTGTCTATGGCTCTCCTGCCCGAGATTATCTCCAGCAGGACCACCCCAAAGCTATACACATCGCTCTTCGATGTCAGATGGCCTTCAAAATAGGACAGAAAGAAATTAGAACACAAAACAAGGCAGGAACCAAAGCATAATGTTGGAATTCATATCATCATTTGTATTAATAGGCAGCATGTAGGGTTACCTGTGGCCATGTACTCAGGAGCTGCATACCCATATGTGCCCATGACTCTTGTAGAGACGTGGCTCTTACTCCCCGTTGGACCGTCCTTGGCTAACCCAAAATCCGAGAGCTTAGCATTGTAGCTCTGCATCCGTTACACAGTTTCATGAGAATGAATATTATTAGAGAGATGCAATGCAAAGTGCTGGCTGTAAGTACAATGAACAAAGTCATTAACAAGTTAATTCGTTTCTCATTACCGAATCGAGAAGGATGTTGGAAGTCTTGAAGTCGCGGTATATCACTTTGGCCTTATCACTGTGAAGGAATGCTAGACCTTTGGCAGCATCAGCTGCAACCTTCATACGCAGGTTCCAGGACAAAGGTTGGAAATAAGAAGCCCCTGTGACCAAACCCAATATTGTTTCAGACAACATTAATTCAACCAACAAACTGGTACTTACATCTCCCAACTCAACTTATTGATATGAGCTAGTGATTGACATCAAAGAATAGATTGGTAAGAAGAACTCACTTCTGAAGAGATGATTCTCCAGGCTGCCCTTAGGCATGAACTCGTACACCAGAAGCCTGTGTTCATCTTCAATACAGTAACCGATCAATTTCACCAGGTTTGGATGGTACAGCAGCCCCAGGTAGTTGATTTCCGCCTGTCCACCATTCACATCCACAGTAGAAACAATCAGTTTTCAATTCCTCTAACTCACATTTCTAAACTCGTACGAAAGAGAGGGAATTTAAGAATTACCAGCCATTCCTGGTGGCCCTGATAGCTCTCTTGGTTAAGCCGCTTGACGGCAATAACCATCCCAGTCCCAGGCCTTACAGCCGTGAGCGAATTCTCGTCGACCCATCCTTTGAAGACACACCCAAACCCGCCTTCACCCAACAAACTGTCGGGGCGGAAGTTTCGAGTCGCCGCCTTGAGATCGCCGAAGGTAAAGCTCTTCAAGTTTGTAGCTAGCAAGATCTCGCCCTCTGTTCTCGGCGTAGTAGGCACTGCCCCAGCTGACGATGATACCTTGCTCGTCGACCCGCTCAAATCTTTCCTCGACCCTGCACAAACCCAGCAACATCGTTAAACATAGAATTCATTTAATGGTGGATACTATGTTGAAATTGATTCCGAGCTAACAACCTAGAACAGAAGGAGGTAACAGGGTTTCCTATTTCGACCTATGTTGGTTGATCAGAATCGTTTGAAGGAGAAAAAGGAATAGACTTTTCTGGAAAAGAGAACATATTGAGAAAACCCAAATGAAGAGATCAACAGAAGTGTGGAGAGAATTGGGGAAGGTACCATTAAAGAAGGGGTTACCAGCTTTGATTCCGGAACTAAAGCAGGAACCCATGAAATGAACACAACCAAGCTTCCCGGAAACAGAAAGATTGAGATAGAAGAGATCAACTGTTTCCCCAGCTGCAGGAAAGGAAGGAGCCCAACTCAGGAAAGTTTCCCAGCTTTCCAGAAGCAGGGCAGAGGAAGAAAGAAGAGAAGTCCGTGAAGGGGGAGAAGATAGAGAGGGAGGTGGAATGTAGTGTGAAAGCGGAAAATTGGAAAGGTGAGCCCTTTTCTCATATATTGGGGGTGGGGAAATCCAAAATCATCAATATAAAGATAAGCTGTCTTTCATCACCGCATATGAACATGAGTACATGGCCCTTTCCCAGTCGCATACTTTGACCGGATTAAGAGGTTAATGATATACAAGTGGGGAGGGAAAAAACAGAGTAAAATCCAAGGAAAGGAGGGGGAAAGGACAAAGCTTTCTAGACGGCCGGGCTCTTGGCTGGTGGCGTTTGTTTCTTTGGATCTTTATGAGCTGAAGCGGTTGTTTTAATTGTTAGTTGGTTGCGGAGGTAAAATTTATTGAAGGTCTCTGGCTGTCTGCGAAACCCATCAACTTGCAAGAGGACAACAGTGAGAAAGGGTTGACTTGGCCCTTCCTTTACTCTGCCACCCTGTCCTCTCTCTCTCTAGGATTAAGGATTTTAAGCAAACGGATTAGATTAGTGGGTCTGTTAATACAATTTGCAGTTGTATAAGACTAGCTAAAGCCTGTCATGTCCATGTATGTATATTGTAATACTTCTCTCTATTTAGTAATTAGCTAATTAAGTATCATTTCTTGCCAACTTGGTGCACGATATAGGGCTTTTAGCCATCTATTCCAGATGAGCTTTGCAGCCCCCACTCTACTCTGACTATGTAGTTATTCATTCTTAATTTCAGTGATTACCGTACTAAGTAGGGTCAACAATGTCCTGCAGATCAAGGGAAGATGACACGAGATGATGTCAGAATCTGTCACAATGTTCATGTAGCCTATGTGGA